AGAAAAGTTTATCACTAGAGTTGAGAGTAGCGATTACTTTAGTTAAACAATTTTTAAATATGTACCTTTATAAATAAGTAATATGTGAAATTAAAACTATAAATCAATATCATAAATAAAACTAAATTCAGGTTTGTGTACAACATGCCAGATGCAAGTTTGAATTTGAATGCAACTTGTGATGTCACCTGCAGCAACTTATTATATATACAAGTAAATTAGTGAAGTAATATCTATATAACACCCTCTGAATCTATACGATGCGCCGAGTTAACTCGGTAACTCGGTAAAATTTATTTTCTATCGATTATCGAGTTGGACAAATTCACTCGATTCACTCAGGTGAAATAAAACATAGTTGGAGGCGCATCATTATGGTAAGAACAAAATGAAGTTTTTATTTACAAGCATTATTAAACTAATGTTTAAGAAAATATGGATATTATCAATTATCAGAAAGGTTAGCCAAATATTAATTGACACAAGTAAGTATGTTTTTCTCTTTATAGTTTTTGTGGTAAAATTCGCAAATAGAATATAAGAGTTTATTAATTTACACCTATTCTAGGTTGTGAAAATCTATTATTAGTTTGTATATTTTACCTAAAACAAAATAAATACAAATAATAAACAGGTCTTAGAACCTTATTAGTTTGTTAAAAGTGACAAAGTATTATGTTTATTTTATTAGTAAAATCTAAATTAAATACATAATAAATAGAATAAATGCACAAAATAATTTATTATAATGTTAAAAGAAAATTAGAATCTTTGGGTCGAGGGACTTAAAGAGGGTTTTGAAGAGCAATTCATATAACTACATTTGTGTACAAATAGGTACCTTATGTATTCAGCAAGTTGCTTAATACTAAATGGCTTTTTCGTTAAGCCAGACACAGATCCTGGATTTATACCAGCCATAGTAGATAGGCAATATAAATGTTATATAATATATTTATGTGTAAAAAATGTAGTAATTATTTGTACTAGAAGCAAATATAAATATAAGTTTAATAATAATAGTTTGCATAAAAAAGTGTAATGGTTGTATCTATTATGCTTAGACAGCTGTGTTGTTCACTGTGCAGAAAGGAATATTATTTTGTCATCTAGAATCAGATATACTTAATATAACAATAATATCTTTGTCTCCTATGTACATGAAACCAGTAAAAATAAAATGTGAGACAACTTTTACATGGTTGAATATCATAGATGTTGATCAGTAATTACTGCTCCTGTATTTGATCAGCTGGAGCTGATTAATGCTGTATAGTTTATAATAATTTCTTTATTATTTAACATATGAAAAGGCAGATATAAGAAAATGCTTACAGAAATATGTAAATACAGTTTATTGACATTGAAGGCATAGTCTTATTATCTCTTATTATTAAAAATGTCCTTTTAATTCCTATATAATATAGAAAAAAATAATATATTGATAAGAATTATTATTTAGTTAAGACACCTTTACAATTGTCATTAACTTCTTTTCAGGTGGATCGCTTAGAACAAATCTGTATGCCGTGCAGGCTGAAAGCTTGCAGAGACAAAAAGTGTATGGATATTGAAGACAACAGTCTTATATCATATCTCTTATAATTGAAAATTCCTTCTGATTGCTTACAATATCATAAATGTACATGTTACCATCAAGTTATTTTCAAAAAACCTTCAGAAATATATCTAACACTAAAATGTTTCTACCTATGTCCGTTATAGACAAAACATAAGAAACCATCCAACCAATTTCAATGAAAATGTTTGTGTGTATTTGGATGGATCCCTAGATGGTTTATATTTACATTTGGACCCGGTAGATGGCACTGTTGTCGAGATCCATAAATCACCAGTGCTGCAGATGAGCCGCATCGCTAGTAATAAATACATTTAAATTAAGCCTGTGTTTTTGTAATCCTTACACAAACAGTTTGAAACATCTTACTTCCTCACTATTTATCATTGTGTAATAACATAGATAAGGCATGTTAATTCCTAGTCATTTTATTATGATGTATACTACTTACTAATCAACCAAAACATATTAAAACAATGTCTTGACACCGCTCCTGTCTATATATGTCAGTCAATCATCAAAGTTCAAAAAATTTATTAAATTAAGTTTGTATAAAAGGGGTTATTATAGTGTAAAGGAATTTATGGCTGACAATAACCCGTGGGTAAGGTGATCGCTACCAAGCTATTTCTAATTTGTTCTGTGTTGTTAATTATGACATACATGATTGTAAGCTGCCTTTTTTTTAAAAAGACCCACTGGGTATTTTGCTGGTTCTCTTCAAGTCAGAGGTTTTTTCCGAACCAGTGGTAAATTAAAAAAGTGACTTTCAATAAGTATTATTTATAATCTAAATTGAATAAAAGGTTTCTGTTTCTTTACCTACTACTGTTAATAGAATACTTAAATAAATTATGATTTACAATAATAAATAGAATTAACTACATTATATTTTGTTTTTTGTAATACAACCAGTTTAAAACATCTTACTGTGTGTTGGTAATATCATAAATATAAATAGACATTATCCCTTAGCCATCTTGGTATTTAGAATTACACTCACAATCAATCAATACATGTCAAACTTAGAATCCATACGACATTTGTGCATAGACAGGCACTATGTTTTGCCGGAACTAGTGAAAGGTTTTACATCGATTTTAAAATATTTATAAATGCTGAATATAGGTATCTACAGCTTAGTTTTATATGTACTATTATTCAAGTGTGCACTATTTTAACTTATAATACCGATGAATACTACCAGAAAATCGCTTTCAGTTTGTTTTTAGGTTATTGTTAGATTCATATTTTATTTGTTAATTTCTCTTTCTAATACAACCAGTTTAAAACATATCTTACTGTGTGTTGGTAATATCATAAATATAAATAGACATTATCTCTTAGCCATCTTGGTATTTAGAATTACACTCACAATCAATCAATACATGTCAAACTTAGAATCCATACGACATTTGTGCATAGACAGGCACTATGTTTTGCCGGAACTAGTGAAAGGTTTTACATCGATTTTAAAATATTTATAAATGCTGAATATATCTACAGCTTAGTTTTATATGTATTATTCAAGTGTGCACTATTTTAACTTATAATACCGATGAATACTACCAGAAAATCGCTTTCAGTTTGTTTTTAGGTTATTGTTAGATTCATATTTTATTTGTTAATTTCTCAGGACTCCGTTTAGATGCAGTAAAACTAATAATTTTATTGTAATCTATGGATTATAAGGAATAAATCGACATGCATTTCATTGATAATCTTTAAAATTTGTAGTGGGCCCATTCTCCATAGAAAAATTGATTGTCTCCTTTATGTTAGAGCCGATCCAAAATAAATTTATTTGATTCATGTACTTGAAACCATTTGGAATACACCCGGGCTATCCCTTGTTGTATCCTACTCTATTTTTGCTCGGTATGGTAGGATACTACAAGCTCGAAGTCAGAAGAGAAGTAGCTCTCGCAATGTACGTGTTGAAGGTGATGAGGGGTAGAATACACAACCCGAGAGTGCTGGAGATGGCGCGACTCAATGCGCCGGATGGGTGCGCGGGGCGTCGGCGGCGGCCGCCGTTGCTGGCGGTGCCGCGCGCGCGCACTGCACTGATGCAGCAGGCGCCGCTCGCGCGCGCGCTGCGTGTGATCAACGCCATATCGGAGCAAACTGATTTATTTTCATGTTCGCTGAGTGAGCTCAGTAGATGGCATATGGTATTGTATCGTTGGCTACACTGTCGAATTAGGGTGCTCATCCTGTAATGACTGTGTGTTGTATGTATATAAAATAAAAAAAATTCTGACAAGTATATAACTTTCTTGTTTATTTCGTATTTGCTTAAAAGCAGTAACTGTCGTAAATGAGAACACAACTACGTGGCATATTTACTGTGCCAGCTTCCCCATAGCTGTGACACAATTATTGTTCTGAATTTCCGGTCTAATAACATACATACATAGAAACCTTTGGGTATAATCAGTTCGAGATGCAGGTGGCCACCTTGGTCGTTCAGTGTTGTCGTCCAATTCAACACAAAATCTGAGGTATGGGGACATCGCGGCGCAATTGACAGGCACCTTTAACCTGACCTTACCATAGCTCTATATTAGAATATTGACGACTGAATATAAAAATACCGTGTAGTGGCGACGTAAGACTATCCATTACCTCATATCATCCCTTGGGTGTCGTGAGAAGCGACAGAGGGAAAGAAACTAGAAGATGGGCAGCAGCGTCTTCTTAAAAAAAAAACTGTGGTTGCTAACCCGCTTGCAAGCGTAGCAATCTAGCACACAGAAAACCATGAGTAAAATATCAGCTATATACTGCTGTATTTCGTATGGTGAGTGTTGAGAACCGGAGACCCTTTTTACTGGAAATGAGGCATTCCATCTTAGTCCTCACGGGTGACAACGCGTCTACATTTTGATTCTTAATAACTGAAGATAGATATAGGTAACTATGGGCCACAATATCTATTTACCATCTGATACTATGTGCTCGGTGGTCACCTTTCTTCTATAAAAAGTGGACTTTTGATAGGCTGAAACGGTAACGGTAAATACAAAAAAACAGGGATTTTCTCGCAATTTTTTTATTACAGAAAAATTAAAACTATAATAAATTTACATCACTTACTAACATATAAATCCTATTTATTTACATAGCTTTAAAGTAATTTATGGTAAGTAATACTAAATTTCACAGAGACATCACAAATGTACACACAAACATACTTTTAAAATGGTTCTTAGTATAGAAAAGATAATGTTTTTAATCAGTACCACAGATTCAAAATAATTTCACATTTCTGTACGTAATTTTGTTTGGTAAACAAAAGTTTACTTGACATCTTTACATTTTAATAAATGCTTGCATACAAATTTAATAAACAAACACTGATAGATTAACATCGTGTTTACACAGATTATTAATTTAAAAACAAAATGTTTATTATCCATCAATCGGAACTGATCTCTTCGGCGACCTGCTGCCATTTCGCAACTAAGGTGGATACAGATTTGTGTTTCAGACCTATCGATGTAGATATTTTTACCTGTAAGCATATTCATAAATAAACAAAAATACCGAGTTTGTCGTAAACATTTTCTAACACTATTTTTTTTTTGTGAGGTGCTTCTACGACTTTTTCTGCCATGAGGGCGGTGTAACTTAGGAATAAAGTGAAATATTTGACAATTTTAATGCCGGTGAAGTTAAATCGTTAAAAATTTGTAGAGATTAATGTTTCTCTTTGAAATATTAGTTATATTTTGTAATAATTAGAGATTTTGAAATGAAATTTTAAATACAGAACATGTATTATTTAATACCTTTATTGGACACCAGTTTCTCACAAACTAGGGTTCAATACGTTTATAGCTCAACGTGTTTGTCGAAAATAATTCTGTACCTGTTTGTGAAGAGAAAATAAATATAAATTCTATTCTATTCAAAATAGATAAACCAAATTACGGATATTCCTAGAAGTAGAATAATTTAAAAAAATATGTGTGCAATTCACACACGATACAAGTGAAACCTTCAGAAAACTAAACTTGGAGATAATTAATTTTATAATGAACACTGCATACTGTATTCTATCTCTTTCACTCGCAGGCTTAATCCTATAGATGTATATGTTTGTTTCTGTTTAGTGTCGCTTTTTCGTTTTATCGAAATTCAAATCATGATTCTTAAGAAGTTTTTACTTAAACAAAATATTCTATCCTATTCTCTCGCAGGGTAAATCTTACAGATGTATATGTTTGTCTCTTTTTAGTGTCGCTTTTTCGTTTTATCGAGTTTCAAATCACGATTCTAAAGAAGTTTTCACTTACCCTTCAATCCCCATAAAATTCCCATGCAGTCGCATGCGCCTGGCAAATCCCGAGCGGTCGCATGCGACCGCACCCACCCATAGCACTTAAAACCATTAAAACTTATATTTAGAGACTACTTTTCTATGAAGAAGTTTGGCATTATAAAATCTATACAAAATTCTCTATCCTGTGGTCTAAACAAAAGTCAGGTTTTACTTCATTACAAAAAGATTTTGTTGTATTGATAACAAAAAAAAAAAAACAACATACCGAACTGATGTCGGCAGCGTGATAATCACAATTATTTCTATATATTACTCGAAATTATTTACGTAAAAAGATAAATTATATTGACACAAAAACTTTTATAACAATTTTATAATAAAACACTATTGTAAAACACCAATAAAATACTAGAAAAATCCAAAAATCAACACAAGAATATCCAAATGAAAATGGCGTACGTAATGAACGTAGAATATAAATTAATATCCATATTAATTTATATCCATATTAATTATTAAGTTTTTTTATTCCACTAGAGGATAGAAAATTTCATATTGATTCTATAATGCCAAACTTCTTCATAGAAAAGTAGTCTCTAAACATAAGTATTTATAGGTTAAAGTGCTGTAGGTGGATGCGGTCAAAGGAGGATGGCCAAATCGTACTCGACAACGAAATGATAACGTCCCAATATGAAATATTTATGTAAAATACCCTTATTGTTTAAGGTCTTAAAATACACAAGAAATAACTCTCTCTCTAAGTAGCCACAAAAAAGTTATACATTTATTTCTATTTTTGTAACTGTTCAAAATTATTTCAAATAATAGTTTCAGAACGCACCTGATGACGATTCATTTCGTGTGTGAAAGGACTTGGTATTCAAAGACTATAATTATTCACGTTTTTATGAATAGTTGTTAATTTTAATTCAATTCAATTAGTATGTAGACATCAAATCAACTACTTTTTTTGATTTATTATGTACTGGATTCTTGTCATAAAAATAATTATGTAGGTCATAGTAAGTTAAACGTTTTGTTCAATTACATATTTACAACGGAACATCATTTGTCATCGCTTAATCTGTGGTCATCAATCCGCGCCATTATTGTTATTTCCTTCTGTTGTTTGGATTTCGGTATTGTTTTACGGACTGATGTCTTCACATCTTGGATAATTGTGAGAGACATTGTGTAAACTACACTGCTATTGATATGTGTTAATTATAACATATGCATTGATACACTTCGCCACCATGTCGTTTTTGAACTTGATACCAGAGTAATTTCTAAGATCTGCAAGTGGAATTCTTCAATAATAGTACGTATTTACATACCTATTTACTTTATTACTCTAACATATTATATCAATCATACATCATAATACTATAATCAATCATATATCATAATACAACTAATTCTTATTTTAGATCACTGAAGAAGATTACGTATGTGATGCTTGTCAACAATTGGCAATACAGCGTGTTACCTAACGAGCAACTCCGGGTTACCTAACGAACCTGGTCCTTCATCTTTCCGTGGCCACAACCATGTTTGCATACTTTGTGGAAGTTCTCTGAGGAATCAAAAACGTGACCTTATTGTGGAAGAGAATCCACCTCAGTTGCAAAAAGCAATACATGTTGAGCTTGAAAATAGAATTGCCCCACGGCAGGTAAAAATTACTTTTTTTATTTTGTACTTTTTTTTTTGTTTTGTCTTGGTATCAAAGTTATAGTGAATTTATCACTGCAGTATTATATTGTTCCGTAAAAAATGTTTCTATTTGATCGAGTTTAATCATAATCAGCCAAAACATTTATATTAAGACAAGGCTGTATGGTTGTTTCAGACAACTTCAACAGACAGTGGCGAAGCTTCCATTAAAGAAGAAAAGCCAGGCTTGCCTTATTAAACCTGAATCAATCAATAATATCAATTAATAAAATAACTAGTAAAATGTTTCAAGCTATTTCAAATTTCCCGCGCACTCCACTGTTCGACACATGTCGACTGATGACCTCGTATTGCCTTAGCGATACTGCTGCTGTCATAAAAAATGAGTTTTAATAGAGCTAATAGTTGTCTCCCTCGCTCGCGTGGGCTTTTTACGGGGCTTTCGAGACGATCGCTCTCTTTCTAACCTATGGCAAAATATTCTATAATGAAATATAACTTCAATTGTATATATAGCAATTAGTATAGAGATTTGAAGCCAGGCTTTTGGGAATAAATTTGTTAAAAGCGTAGGCGCGCGGGCAATACGTTTGCAAGTTCATTTCACGTTTCAATGTTTATTTACTCTGTGTGCTTATCTTAAGCGATTTAATATTACGAGTTCAAAATTTATGCTTTTTTAAAGATTTTTAATGAAAATGGAGGATAATAGTGTTGCTTGTGATGAATTGAAGTGTGTTAAAGTGATAATCGGAGAGGAAATCTTTAAAATTTGTTGAGATAATACACAATGTTAAGAGTGTATTTCAGACTTTCAATTATCGCAATTAAAAACAGTTATTGGTACAATTAAAACTTTCACCAATTTTTAATTGTACCAATTTTTTTTTAAGTGGACTTTAAGTGGATTTTAAGTGGACGTAATTAAATCTTTCCATAAGAAAGCGAGACGATTCCACGTATCTTATCTTATCTCTTATCCATTAGAATGTAAATAATTTTTTTTTTAATTTTGTACATAGTTTGTTTGTACTTTGTTTGTATTTTACTTTTGTTCATGTATTGTATTGGATGTAAATATTTTTTTTCTTTCCCAAACGGTTCAAACCCAAACGGCTTTCTTCAAAGCCACCGAAGCTATGCAATTGCTGATATGTAATACAATCTATTTAGCGGTGGTATGCCTTCTGTGTGCTTTGTTAAACACGTCCTTGACAGCACTGAATATGAAACTGAAGCGTGGAGACAGATCAAGATTGGTGTATTTTTATGAAACTGCTAAAAACAACATTCTATATTTTTATCAATTTATATTTTGGGCTTGCCCTAGCTTGGCGCTCTAGCTTCACCACTGTCAACAGACCATGTTTGTCATCCCTGTTGGCTGAGACTCAAGAGAGTTGCAACACACAATATGCAGCAGACAGAGCTAGAGTTGGAGCAGGAGCCAGAGCCTCAACCCCAAGAACCTTAAAGCCCTCCAAATACCGACCAGCAAGATGACGTAATACCCAGGGGGTTAACACTTTGAAAGCCAAGAATTTTGTAACGCGCATTACCCTGTACGCCGGCCATTTACGGCATTTTTGTAAGTTTTATATAAAAAGAACTAAAAAAGTAACACATTTAATTCTTTTTGTATATGCTAGAATAACTAATTTATTTTTACAATAAAAATAAAACAAAGTATATTAACTTTATTTTGTTTAGAAAATCAAGACATTAATACCTATTTTCTACAAATAAAAAAAAACTCTTACATAAATATAAGTCCGCGATTACGTGCTTTTCTCTAGTCCTACACCGTGAAATCTTTTTAAGTATGATACTTTTCAAAGCAAGGATAGTGACAGAGTGGAACATTACATTCTGAACAGTAAAACGAAGTTTCCTTCCTTCCCCCGCAAACCTTGCAGACTCGTGTGACTTTTGTGTTTGTCGCAGTCGGCGGTATTCGTCTATGGAAGTGTCTACCCACCAACCTAGTAGACTTTGCAGTGGGATGTGGACCATGAGATGGTCCAGCAGCACTATCAGCTCCAGCAGACCGTACATTCTCCAGGAGAGCGTCACCGCAGGTGTTTAGAAACTGAGAAAATTTCGGTCTCCGTGCCTGCGTTCTTGATTTATTATAAATTATGTACGCGTTCACCATTGCTCTAGCCACTAAATGGAAAAAAATCTTCTTCCACCATTTCATGGACTTCCTGCGCAGGGAAAAATATAACACGTACTGGTCATTTAGGTCAACCCCGATTTTGTGGACATTGTAATCCAAAACACAGTCAGGCCTGATTCTTTTTGTGGGTCCTCCTTTAGCCTTTACTGTGACCTCCGTCCAGGAGGCGGCGTGCTTCGTTGTAAGGAAGTGGACATCCCGCTTGTCTTTCCACTTACAGGCTGTTAAGTTTCCGCGGTGACAGAAAGCCATCTCGTGCGTCTCTAAAGGCTGCTGACGCCATTGCTGCGGCAAGCCACGTCGATTTGACATCACAGTGCCAACGATGCGTGTGTTTCTAAGCCAAAACAACTACAGTAGGGCTGGTGAA